CCTCACTGGAACTGTTTGACTCGTCTTGCCGCATATCTCTGTGTACGGCATTTTCTAGGTCCTTCATCCTGGTTGACAGGTTGTCGATTTGTTCCTGCACCTTGATGTTGGTCCTGACGATTTGTTCTACAATTTGGGTTAGGTTAGACGCGTTCGAATTTCTTGAGTCTTGTACCTCCCATTTCCTCTCATGTTCCCTGGACCGGAAAATAAGGTCTTGAATCATCACCGCGAATGCCGGCGGGAGCTTAAACTGGCTGCCATCGTCAGCCCTTATAGTAATTTCCTTCTTACTATTTTTGTTTTCTCCGCTGTCCAGGGCATTCGCGATGTTTATCGCGGTTTTTTGAACTCGCGATATTACGTCCGCACTCTGTAATAGTTGAGCTAGTGGGTGTTCTCCCTCCTGCTCGGATGCTGTGTGTTCCTGGTATAGGGACACAATTAGCTCCGAGCGTAGGGCGGCTCTTTTGGCTGGACTGCTGTGTTGGTGGTCGGCTTCCGCGAAATCTGCTGCGGAATAGTCGCCGAGTAGCCAGTTGTGCAGTCGTGCAGCTCTCGAGAGCTTGCTCCCGCTAGTTTTGAGTTCCAGTTGGTCGAGGTAATCTTCGATTTCCTCCTCCTGGAGCGTCCATACCCAATTTTCTACTTCTGTCTGAGTGCGGTCCATAATTGCTGTTTGTTCGCTTGCGTTTGCCTTCTTTGTAAAATTTACAGTTATGTTACGCGGGTGCGAGTGTTGTATGATAATTCGTACGCCGAATGAAAAAATAATAAAATTTTATTAGCCAACACTGGGCTTGATCAACGGCGTTTTACGAATTATTTGCCGAAAGATTCTTTGCTCGTTAGTACGCAATATAATTATTCTGCCTATCAGACGCACTAACTGTTTGTTAGTACGGCTGTGTGAGTTAGTATTTAAAATATTGTAACGAGCGTTGCGCGTAATCACCAATAACCGCAGTTAATAATATTAAAAAACACATTTACGTTACGACAATACGATGTCAAATAAAATTATTCAATTAAATTAATTTTGTTTGAAAATTGCCGGTGTTAGTTTTCCCCGGGCCAACGGGTATAATATTATTTGCGGCAACTTTCAAAATTCGTTGGTGTTTACGTTCAAGAATCTTTCGGTCGCACTCGCACGCGTTCACAGCTATTATTTACAATTTTTCGCCGCGGCGGGCCTTCGCAAGCTAGCTAACAGGTTTTGTTTACTAACGTGGCCTTCGGTATCAAGTGCGCACAACAACACTTGATTGCCACCTGGGTCGCTGGTTGACTGGGCGCGAGTTTACTACTGAGAATCGGTGTTTTGCACTATCAAAAACACCGTAGTTCTTTAACGTTGGGCGCCATGTAACGGGGTAAAATCGTTTAATTATTTTATGCGCGCGATTACACTAAAGGGACGCGCGCAACTAATTATGCTCAGTACGCAAATCGGAGAGCATGTAAAGATAGTCGCCAGTCAACCAGTAAGTTCTCTAATTTAAGGAAAGTGAGTGGAAGCTATGAGATATAAGCGAATCAAAAGAAAACACTTGTTAGTAAAATGAATTAGGTCTTTTATTATTCCTTATACTCTACAGAAGGTCGGCCCGCGCGTTTGTTTACGTTGACGCTCACTCATCGACAACACACTTTGCCGGTACGCTCGCTGCTCTTTGTTATTAGAGCCGTTACATGCACGCATCGAATATTAGAAATTAGTCATAAATCATGCGATCGCGATCGCGAAATTAAGCTGGCCAGCTTACCTTATATTTGCGGGCGATCGAAGAACACAGCGATAAATCGCACAGCGCGGAACAGTTTCTAACGTTTGTTTTGCTCGCGGGTCGCGAATGCGCGCACACACTGGTTTCGCCCTCGATGGCGAAACCTCACACACTCTCTCTCGTCCTGGTCTTGAGCTGTCGGATGTCTGGCACCTCGGTGGCAGCTGTCACGACTATCTGGCACTCTCTAATATCGCTGATCTGGCGTGTAGTCGTCAAGGGCACGTGAATCGGCGGCGGTAATAGCGAAAGCGGGCGGACACAATGATGGTCTAAGCTTCACTGGTTCGAATTCTATCGCGCGCGTTCCGTCTGCTCGCGTGCCGAATTCCTTCGTTACCTATTTCGTCCCCCCGGCAGGTGCTGCCCTCACAGGCAGCAATTAGGCTAAATAATCAGCGCTAATTTGACGTTTACCGTCACAATGTATTCTATTTTAAACAACATGAGTTATTCGTCCCCTTTAGAATCTGCAAGTTGGCATGTAAACGATTCAAATAATGTAATAAATTACAGAAAAACACGAAAGAAACACTACTTCATATAAAAGGTCATTGAATGCCCCAAGAAGATAAAGCCAAATACCTAGAAATATACTTACACCGCAGATTAACGTGACGGAACCATATTTGGAAAACAAAAGCAACTCAATCTAGTTACGAAAATTCTATTCGTTATTAAGCAAAAAATCAAAACTTGCAATTAATAATAAACTATTGATATATAAGTGCTGCAACGATTATCGATTATCCATATCGAAACGTTCGCGATTCGGCGGGACTCAAGGTGCGAGAGCGAACGGTTAGGAGAGACGGTGGCCGCGCGCGATAGATTTGAGTGAGAAAAAAACAACTGAAAACCGTCAACAACTAAAAACGGTGACGCACGTAATTAAGCTTACCGAATGAAGTCTTTCTCTTCATCTCTCTCACTTTCGCGTTCATTGCGATCATCTTCCTCGCTTCTCTTTATCCGTCAATCGCTCGTGGCTCCAACAATTAGTTCATCGAACGCATCTTGAATAAGAACATAAGCATGAGAGTGTATAAAACATACGCTCGTAGTCTAAAGATGGCGAACAAATGATTGCGGGGACCTGCAAACGAATCTGCTAAACTCTGATTCTCTGTTACATAGTTTTACTGAAATATTTATTTTCTTACATATAGATTACACGTTATATTTACTTAAGTAACACTCAAATGATGCGATTACCTAGTTGTAAATAATGTATAACTAAAGTAAATCTACGTTGTATTTTGAACATACCAGACAGGTCATATCATTGATGCCATAAAACTAACTCAACTTTATTTAAATCAACTTTCTCTCTCTCTCTCTCTCTCTCTTTCTCTTTCTCTGTGTTTTTAACGGATGAACGCGTCATTATCATGAGCTAAGGCAGGACCTTCCTTCTGAATATAGTGCTTTCAATATTAAAATTCTTTTCCTTATTAGTTTCATGTAATGATTATAGAAACTATTTCTCTTTTCTCGATCTGAATGTTATTATTTCTTTCTCACATTCGATTGTTGTATTCATTTTTTGCAGTATGAAATGGTTGGAGCATCTTTTGTCTTTCTTTCCTATGTAAATCAAAGAATTAGTACAAGTCTGGTACCGTAGGAGATTCACGAAAATTAGTTTTCTTCATTAGAAGTTCTATAATCAATTACACTCTTGAGCTGTAATTTATTGCGTAATTGTATGTTTCTTAATGAATAAATTTGGAAAAAAGTATCAAGAGTATTCTACTCAAATCTTGAAATACTACAGATTTAACTAATTTAAATGATTCTACTAGTTTCTTTTTTAAAAAAGCGAAGTTAATTTTCAAATAACCTTCACAATAACCCAAGGTTACGGCCAAGATAGAATAGTTCATTACGATACAAGTGCGGAAAAATAGATCTTTTTCTCGTGTGGTGTTATAACGTGTGATAAATCACTCGTTATGTCTCTCTTTCTCAGACGACCATATTTACTTATGTACATATATACATATATATCTATGTTCATTATTTGGTATAATACTAACTTATGTACAATGCTTAGCATTATAAGAGAGAGAGAGAGAATACAAACAATACAACGCGAAGCAGCAAGAAAGAGAATAGACTCGCGTAGGCTTAAACTGAGTATATGCTCATGTGCAAGAGGAGAGACTGTCGCGCTATACGAACTGATATATGTTCGGTAGAGAAGGAGAGAGAGTGGGGAGTTCTTTCGCGGTACTAGCTTGTTGATCATGTCTGAACGCGCACGTGTTCTCGCCGGCCGGCTTTCGCATTGTAGTTTGACAACCCTTTTCCAATCTCAACTTGGCCTTGAGGTAACTTGAAGAAGAGACAATCGACTGCAAGTGTGTTGACTTGAGTGAGTGCAAGGCCGTCGCCAGGTTCGCTACGTTCGAGAGCCAGGCGGGGTTCATCTGAGGCTCCATCGTTCTTTGTAAGTACCTTCTCGTATCTACTGTCTCTCTCTCTCTCGCTAGCTTGTTACTCTCTCTCTCTCTCTTTATCGCTGCGCTGCACTCCTTGTAAACTCTTGTGTTATATAAACACCATTTTATCTTATATGTGCCTTCCTCTTATTTACACCTGACTCTGCTGCCTCTCACGTTCCCCCGTCGATATATTAATACGAAGATTAGCCGCTTGATCCACGTCACTCCCGCGGGCCTTAAGGCATAACTGGACATCCGGGCATAGCCTCGTACGGGTACTGCACGCCCGCAACGAGGTGCATATTATATCCTTCGTTCTCTCGCGAAATAACGCGGGCGAGTAACAACCCCGTTATAGTGTTTATGCCCGAGCGAAGGGAGGGTGGAAAAGCACACGAGACGAGAAACTTTTTTCCAAACGTGTGTTTTACAGTATGTTTCGATATGACGTATGGAAAGCTCGTTTTCAAACGCAAAAACGAGCATGTGGAATAGACGCACTTTGCGCACGGAGTGTCGAAAACATAATTTCTACTTCTTATAGACCGCAAACTTTCATTTGAGCAATTTTTCATATAAACGTGTATTTGGATTTTAGATTGATTGGACAAGAGGTTTAAATTTTCAATAATAACATTATTTTTATTATGAATATTATGAAAATAGGAATATTATATAATTTAATATGATATTATATAATTATTATTAATTTTGAATTATATAATGTTGTATTTTCAAAATATCCTAATCTAATTTTTTCCAGTTTATGATTCTTTCAATGATTACGTCAATACAGAAATACTTGATGGGGATAATAAATATGATGCAGGCGAACACGGGCTCCAAGAAGCCGAAAAAGGAGTGGTATTTTCTTCATTTCCACCAGTACTGCATCTACATTTGATGAGATTTCAATATGATCCTATTACTGACTGTTCAGTGAAATTTAATGACAGGTTAGTAGGAAGTAAAACATATACAATAAATTCTTTTATTGAAAAGTCGATTACTTTTGCAGATTTGAATTTTATGAAAGAATAAGTCTAGGAAAATACTTGAATACAAATAAAGAAGCAACCAACGTAGATTACATTTTGCACGCTGTTCTAGTCCACAGCGGTGATAATCATGGAGGTCACTACGTAGTTTTCATTAATCCCGCTGGTGATGGAAAGGTAATAATTGATTTTTTAATCGTAAATAAAATTTTTCCTGTAATAATTATTATAGGAAAAAATTATAATGAATTATTATTATAATAGATTCAGTTATTACTCTAGAAAATTTCATTACCTAGTCTTACATTATACATTATAGCGGGATATTAGAGGCTACACTTTATTGTATAAAATCTATATCAAACAAAAACGATTGTAATTAATTGTACCAAGCTATGTTATTGATGGGTTAAATGTAAGCGTTGTCTAGATATAGGATTTATCTAATTAAAAGGCATCAAACAATGAAAGAAACTTAATATACGCAATAAATATATTTACAGATATACTGATCTTTACTTTACTGAAATATAGACATACTAAATCTTTAGTATCATTTTTGAAAATATTCCAATTTAAAATCTATTATGTTGTAAAAATGTATACGGTAGCTCAATAGGTAAAAGCTCTATTTTTCCTGGTATGTAAGCACGGGTTAAATTAAGTTGTTTTTCGTCGGTGTTTTTCCAACTTTCTCTGCTATCTATCGTATATCTTGTTCATTCACCGAACATGAAAATATCGTGTGTTCAGCGTCATCCACTTGTTCTTGACATAGTCTACAATTGGTGCCCAACCAATACTGCCTTTTGACTAAATATGCCCAAATCATTTGTAACTACTGAGCGCTTATATTAGGCGATATTTCAATGTGCTGTATTCTCTGAGCACCATTTTTTTAACTTTAGGTATGAGTACCTGAGTCTACCGTCATTTGTTCTGTGTGCGGTCTTTCTCTTCTCTGAATAAATTTCCTTGTTGCAGTAGTTCTTCTGTCTGTCCATGCCTTCATTTTTATTCCCACGTCCTTTTAAGGCCACAAGTCGTACGGGAAATATTCCCGATAAGACATTCACTGTATCTCAATCTCCTTTACTATATTTATCTTTCACTTAACCGCGCTCATATGTCTATTATTCTCCGCAGACGAAGCTCGTGCTATCCATAGATTCATTCCTAGCTATCAGAGTAAAACAAATTTTTGACGTTCATTGCTATGATATTATATTTTTCTTTTTGTTATTGGATCAGTTGATTAGTGGACTATTACTAGATGATGGGTTAACGACTTCGTTGTATATGTCAGGCAATGACGAAACAGATCAAGTTAGAATCTAGCTTCTATCTCTGGCGATCACCTGCTAGTGTTGGTCGACCTCGCGTCTTTTCATCTGTTCATATAGAAGTCGCCGTTCCACCTTATGTTGCTAAGATATCTAGCCATTTCGCACGTACTGCTACATATTGGCTATCATAGTAGGCTAGTACTAGATGCGCTTCTCTCTAGTACAAATCTTATTCCGCCCGAGATTGTTCGGCAGGAGGTATCGTGACATTTCTAACAATTGGCATTCCGCTGGGACTAGAAATTTCCATGCCTTTTCCTTATTTAAGATTTCCCAGAATTCATTGCCGGGGTGGTAAGTGAATACTTTACTGTTCTGAATTTTCTAGATTGGGTGTGAACCAAAGTTCTGAGACGCTTTGTTTTTCCGGTCCAAAAACCATACTTTATTAACGGTACTTATTGCGGGCTTATTCTCTTCATATGCACGACAAAGCGTCTGAGACAGTATGCAGGAATACCTTGCGATGTTCAAAATAGAACGCGTATCTTAGTTTCAGTGCTATATCTCATAGAGATAGTGATTCTTCCTTCCTTTATGAAGAGTTGATTCCTCTCATTGACAATTATGAATCTAAATGCTTTGGAGAAGTTTATCCTGACGTAGATTTTATCCGTAAGCTGTGGAATTGCAGTATTATAGCTACTGGGGTTGTCCGGATAACACCGCCAAAGATAAAAGGCAAGAATACATGGCTTATAAATGAACTATCTCTGGGACTCTGTATTAAACAATTGGATTCAGTCGCAATCAGTATACCTATGTTTCTCATCATGGTGCTAGACATGTTATAACGTGTTATAACGTAGATTATTGCATCTATCGAGTTTCTTGAGAGACGATCAGCTAAGAAACTTTCCTTACCTGGACAATAAACAATATCAAAGTCATAATTAACTAATTTCAATCTCCACTTTTATACTCTACTGTTATTGGCCAATTTCTGTAATAGCAAAGCTTATGATCTGCCACTAATGTTTAATTATTTTCAAACAAGTAGGTTCGAAATGTTTTTATAGCAAATATTATTCCTAGAGCTTCTCTTTTGTAATTCATGTAATTTTATTCTGTTTTATTTAGAACTTGAAACGCCTACGCTATAAGTTTATCCAAGTTTAATTCAACCTAAGAAAGCGCAGCACCTACGAGGGTCGTTTGAAAAGTCCGTGCAAAAATAAAAACTGCTTGATTTTTTTTAAATAATCTTTTTTATTTTTCAACATAGTCTCCTTTTAGGCTTATACACTTCATCCAACGCTGCTCTAGTTTGTTAATCCCTTCCAAATAATAGGATTTGTCCAAGTCTGTAAAATAGGCATTCGTTTCTGCAATCACCTCCTCGTTAGAATAAAATCTTTTCCCCGCCAGCCATGTTTTCATATTAGGGAACAAATAGTATTCCGACGGAGCCAAGTCTGGAGAATAGGGGGGATGTGAAACGAGTTGGAACCCTATCTTCATCAGTTTTGTGGCCACAACTGCTGAGGCGTGAGCTGGCGTATTGTCTTGGTGGAAGAGGACTTTTTTGTAGGCCAACCGTGGACGTTTCTTTAGCAACTCGGTTTTCAAACGATCCAATAACGATGAATAATATTCGCCTGTAATGGTTTTACCCTTTTCCAGATAGTCGATGAAGATTATTCCTTGCAAATCCCAAAAGACAGTCGCCATAACCTTCCCGGCCGAAGGAATTGTCTTCGCCTTTTTCGGAGGAGATTCCCCCTTGGTAACCCATTGTTTAGACTATTCTTTGGTCTCAGGAGTGTAGTGATATATCCATGTTTCATTCTTGCAACACTTCACACAATCTTGTTTTTGGTCAATCGTGAGCAATTGCGGCACCCATCTAGCGGATAGCTTTTTCATGTCCAAATGTTGGTGTAAAATATTATGTACCCGTTCACTCGAGATGCCTACAGTACTAGTAATCTCACACACCTTCACTCTTCTGTCAGCCATCACCATATCATAGATTTTATCAATGATTTCTGAAGTGGTAACCTCAACAGGGCGTCCAGAATATAGCCACTCTGAAAATTTTGCAACCACTTATAAACCATTCTAATCGAAGGTGCACAATTACCATAATATTTATCAAGCTTCTGTTTAATCTCCTGAGGCGTTTTGCCTTGGAAAAGTAATGTTTAATCAATACACGAAATTCTTTTTCGTCCATTTTTTTACAACCACTCGATTTCTTTGATTGAAACGAATGTAAAACGCAAAGTAATTGGCCGATCTGGCTCAAACTTGGTGTGTACTCTTCCAAGATATGCCACTAACTGAAAATAACCTTGATACGCACTAGTAGCGCCATCTCTCTGTCTTTGCACGGACTTTTCAAACGACCCTTGTAAACTATGATTAGAAGTGGCAGTTCTGTCAATATATTATTTGTAAAATTAGCGATACTGTCAAAATGGTCCTTCATACAATAATTTCTTTAATTTATCAAAAGCTGTCTGTTATTCTACATTAAAAAAAATGTTACATTTTTGTATAAAAATATTGTCAAATGTTTCAATATTTTTATTGAATCATCTATAATAATTACAAAGGCCAAGGTCATATTCCCTCATATTTTTAACAAATTTTGGCACACAACTTAAAGTTTCAACAACTTATACTTTCTTTTTGGTGCATTTGATACTGGATTCACTGATAATATGGCCTAAAAAAGAAACTTATTTTCAGCTAATTTCTTTTTTGAGATTCGAGTTTTATAACTTCGCTTAATTTTTGAGTTACGTCGTAAAATCTTTTGTTAGTTTTATCTACTGTTTTCCTGAATACAATTTTGTCATCAACGACAACGAAATAACTTATGGCAGTGAGGTCCCATAATAATATGTTAAGAATTCTTTGAAAAGTTCTCGCCGAGTTAACTATACCAAATGATAAAACTAAAAATGTAGATCGACCCAATGGGTGTATACAAAAACTGTTTAAAAAATGTATTATGGGTGCATTTTTATTTGATGACAGCCGGATGTGAGATTAGCCACGATATATTTGACTTACTGGCAGATTTTCCAACTCAAAAAAAATGTAATTGTACTGTTTTATCAAATATTTTGTTTTCATCTTCAAAAGTAATTTCAATGTTTTCTTTAACTGTTACTATAAATAGTTTATAATTTAAATTTACTTATTTCTTCATTGTTTGCTATAGAGCTATTATTTTCATACATTACAATATTTATATGATCAATGAGAGCCCCTAGTTTTAAAGAATCTTTTTTACTATTTTTTTAATTCAGATGCTGCTTGAATCGTAAGAAAAATTTCTAACAATGTCTCGCAAGCTTTAGCATCATGATTTGCGTTAATAAAAATTTTATTTATTTATTTATTACTAACCAGAGCATCTTACATATATTACAAAATAGTAATAAATATACAGATACGTTATAAAATAATATTGTAACCCAGCAGAGAAAATTGATTTCCTGTTTGCTGGTCTGGAATACAAAAGAATACTTAATCTAAAAATATAATTACTAAATTCAAACTAAAAAAGTTATTTTGTTACGTGCCTGTATGATCACCATGATAAGCAGGCAACTATATAAATGCACTTAGTTTATATTCTTCTCCAGAATCTTATCATCATATTTCTGGCTGTCGTATGACAATCTATAATTGCTTTCCTATCACCTAATTTTTTTTTATGTGATTGAGTTTAACTGAACAAGAATGTCCAACAGCACAGGTTACTCTATAGTGTGAAAACATTTTTTTATAATGAATATCTGTTGTACACTTGCAAGATGTGAAAACAATATCGTCTACAATAACTATGTTTGTGTTTTTGTTGAAGTTTTAGTGAAT